TTGGTTGGTGAGAGCCCGTTAAAAAAAACCCTTAGCCCCCGCCCCGTGCCTCAGTTTCCCTGGCTCCTCACGGACTGCGGGTCTCTTGCAGGGCCACGGGAAGGCGACGCCCGCCATGAGCTCCTCGGCGCTGCTGGCTGAGGGCCCCCTCGACCCACCGGTGCTGCTGGCCGACATCAAGACGGAGCCCCCCGAGGAGCTGCTGGCCAGCGACTGCAGCCAGCCCCAGGCCGAGCCCGTCGATCTCTCCCTCAATAAATCCAAGGTGGCTCCAGCCTCGGCCCCGCCGCCACCGCCCCCAACCTCGGTCCAGTCTTCCCCCATGCTGGTGGCTCCCCCGGTTCCTGCTCCCACCACCGTGTCCATCCCGCCCTCCGGTCTCAGCTCCACCTCGGCCATCCCAGCTGTTCTCTCACCCGGCTCCATCCTGGCCTCCACGCAGGGCAGCGGCGGGCAGCAGATCCTCCACGTCATCCACACCATCCCCTCCGTCAACCTGCCCAGCAAGATGGGCAACCTGCAGACCATCCCCGTGGTGGTGCAGTCCCTCCCCGTCGTCTACACCACCGTGCCCACGGATGGCGTCACTGCCATTACCGTGCCCCTCATCGGGGGGGACGGCAAGAACGCTGGCTCTGGTAAGGGCACCTGGGGGGAACCTTGGGATCTGGGGGGTGGAGGGTGTCTGTCCTGCCTCGTGGAGGGGCACCCTTGAAGGGGATCTTGTTTTTCACTGTGGACTGTCCCTGGCACCACCACGTGCCACTTTGATACAAAGCCCCTCTGCCCCCAGCCTGTGCCCCCCAGGGGACATGGGGAGGGCAGGGACACACAGGGCATGGCACTGCCTGTCCTCCACCCATCCTGCTGCTGGCAGCCTGCCCTGCCCTTCCCACTGGCTGCTTGCTGCCAGCAGCTCTGGTTTCAGCTCAGCTGCTCCCTGTGCCCCCCACAATCGCTTTTCCCAGGACATTCCCAGCTTCCCACCTTATCTGGGGTGGGGGGCCTGGATCTGCCCTGCTCTGGGCAGGAGCAGGCAGACAAAAGTGGTTCCCCCAAGTCGTTTCCTCCCTTTGGGGGTTCTCCATCTGCCCAGTTGGGTTTGGTTCTCTGGAGGGACAGGCAGTGCCTGGAGCACTGCAGGAGCAGGGGGAAGGCTGAACCCCTGATGTGGGGTGGAGTGTTTTTGGGGTCTCTGTTCTGTGCTCACCCCTTGCCTCTGTGTGCCCTAAAGCTTTCCTTTCCCGGACCCCTCCAGTGAAAATGGACCCTGGCTCTGTGTACCCCATGGACATGAACAGCGACAGCGAGGACAGCGCCTCAGAGAGCGGCCCAGCACCTTTCCAGGACCTCCAGAGAGAGTGAGTCTCCTCCTGCCTGTGCCTCCCCACCCTTTATCCCCCTGAGCCCCCTGGGAGCTCCGTGGCTCCGGGGCTGTGGCTCCAGCTCTCCCTGCTCCCGGCAGGCCGGCGGCGCGGGGGCCCAGAGCCGATTCCCCGGACCTGAAGAAGCGGCGCATCCACCAGTGCGACTTTGAGGGCTGCAATAAAGTCTACACCAAAAGCTCCCACCTCAAAGCCCACCGGAGGATACACACAGGTAGGGCTGGGGTTGGTGTCCCCGGATTCCCCGTGGGCTGGGGGAGGAGTGGTGGTGCTGTGTCCCTGGGCAGAGGGGCGGCCCTTTGGGAGTGCTGAGGGATTCCCCGTTTGGAATTCCTGTGAGGGGTTTGTTG